TTGAGAGTTCCTTGGACTGCAAGGAAATCCAACCAGTCCATCCTAAAGGAAATCAGTCCTGAATATTCATTGGAGAGACTGATGTTGAAGCTGAAACTCCAATACTTTGGCCACCTGATGCGAGGAACTGACGCCTTGGAAAAGATCCTGATGCTGGGAAAGATTGAAGGCAGGAGGAGAAGGGGACAATAGAGGATGATATGGTTGGATGGCATCACTGACTCAATGGACATGAGTTTGGGTAAATTCCGGGACTTGCTGATGCACAGGGAGGCCTGGCTGCAGTCCATGGGATCACAAAGAGTCAGACACTACTGAGCGACTGAACTGAACTGAAGATCTATGGATGAAGGTTTGTAACACTGTACAGGAGGCGGTGACCAAAACCATGCCCAAGAAAAAGAAATGCAAGAAGGCGAAATGGTTGTCTAAGACTGCTTTATAAATAGCTGAGGAAAGAAGAGAAGTGAAAGGCAAAGGAGAAAGGGAAAGATACACCCAACTGAAGGCAGAGTTCCAGAGAAGAGCACGGAGAGAAAAGAAGGCTTTCTTAAATGATACTACAAAGAAGAAGAGGAAAACAGCATAGAGTGAAGAGGAACTAAAGATCCTCTTGATGAAGGTGAAAGAGGAGAGTGAAAAAGCTGGCTTAATCCTCAACATTCAAAACAGTAAGATCATGGCATCCAGTCCCATCACTTCCTGACAAATAGATGGGGAAACAGTGGAAATGGTGACAGGCTTTATTTTCTTGGGCTCCAAAATCACTGCAGATGCTGACTGCAGCCATGAAATTAAAAGACTCTTGCTCCTTGGAAGAAAAGTTATGACCAACCTAGACGGCATATTAAAAAGCAGAGATATTACTTTGCCAACAAAGGTCCGTCTAGTCAAAGCTATGGTTTTTCCCAGTAGTCATGTATGGATGTGGGAGTTGGACCATAAAGAAAGCTGAGCATAGAAGAATTGATGCTTTTGAACTGTGGTGTTGGAAAACTCTTGAGAGTCCCTTGTCTACAAGGAGATCAAACCAGTCAATCCTAAAAAAAAAATCAGTCCTGAATATTCATTGGAAGGGCTGATGCTGAAGCTGAAGCTCCAAAGCTTTGGCCACCTGATGTGAAGAGCCAACTCATTGAAAAAGACCCTGATGCTGGGAAAGATTGAAGGCAGGAGGAGAAGGGGACGACAGAGGATGAGATGGTTAGAAGGCATCACTGACTCGATGGACATGAGTTTGAGCAAGCTCCGGGAGTTGATGATGGACAGGGAAGCCTGGTGTGCTGCAGTCCATTGGGTCACAAGGAGTCAGACATGACTGAGCAACAAAACTGAACTGAACAGAATGGGAAAAACTAGAGATCTATTCAAGAAACTTAAAGATATCAAGGGAACATTTCATGCAAGGATGGGCATGATAAAGGACAGAAATAGAAATAGTAAGGACCTAACAGAAGTAGATGAGATTAAGAAAAGGTGGCAAAAATACACAGAATTATACATAAAGGTCTTAATGACTCAGATAACCATGATGGTGTGGTCACTTACCTGAGTCATATATTCCAGAGTGTGAAGTCAAGTGGAGGTGATGGACTTCTAGCTGAGCTATTTCAAATCCTAAAAGATGATGCTGTTAAAATGCTGCACTCAACATGTCAGCAAATTTGGAAAATTCAGCAGTGACCACAGGACTGGAAAAGGTCAGTTTTCATTCTAATCCCAAAGAAAGGCACTGGCAAAGGATGTTCAAACAACTGTGAATTTCTGCTCATTTTACATGCTAGCAGGGTAATGCTCAAAATCCTTCAAGCTAGACTTCAGCAGTATGTGAGCCAAGAACTTCCAGACGTGCAAGCTGGGTTTAGAAAAGGCAGAGGAACCAGAGACCAAATTGCCAACATTCGTTGGATCATAGAGAAAGCATAGGAAATTCCAGGGAAACATCTAATTCTTCTCCATTGACTAAAGCCTTTGACTGTGTGGATCACAATAAATTGTGGAAAATTCTCAAAGAGATGGAAGTACCAGACCACCTTACCTGTCTCCAGAGAAATCTTAATACAGGTCAAGAAGCCCCAGTTAGAACCTTACATGGGATAACTGACTGGCTCCAAACTGGGAAAGGAGTGTGACAAGGCTGTATAATGTCACCCTGCTTATGTAACATATATGCAGAGTGCATCATGTGAAATGTGGGCTGGATGAATCACAAGCTGGAATTAAGATTGCCAGGAGAAATATCAACAACCTCAGATACGCAGATGACACCACTCCAACGGCAGAAGTGAAAGGAATTTAAGAGCCTCTTGATGAGGGTGAAAAAGGAGAGTAAAAAAGCTGGTTTGAAACTCAACATTAAAAGAACTAAAACCATGGCATCTGGTCCCATCACTCCATGGCAAGCAAAAGGGGAAAAAGTGGAAGCAGTGACAGATTTTCTTTCCTTGGGCTCCAAAATCACTGTGCATGGTGACCGCAGCCACAAAATTAAAAGACATTTGCTCCTTGGAAGGAAAGTTCTGACCAACCTAGACAGCATATCAGAAAGCAGATACGTTACTTTGCTGACAAAGGTCCATATAGTGAAAACTATGGTTTTTCCATTAGTCATGAATAGATGTGAGAATTAGACAATAATAAAGTAGGCTGAGTGCTGAAAAATTGATGCTGTCGAAGTGTGGTGCCAGAGAAGACTCTTGAGAGTCCCTTGGACAGCAAGGAGATCAAACCAGTCAAGCCTAAGGGAAATCAACCCTGAACATTCATTGGAAGGACTGATGCTGACGCTCCGATACTCTGGGCACCTGATGTGAAGAGCTGACTCATTGAAAAAGACCTTGATACTGGGAAAGATTGAAGACAGAAGGAGAAAGGTTCAGTAGATGATGAGATGGTTAGATCACATCACCGACTCAATGGACGTGAATCTGAGCAAACTCCTGGCGTTTGTGTGTGAAGGGCAGGAGAGCCTGGTGTGGTATAGTCCAGGGGATGCAAAGCGTCAGACACAACTTAGCACCCGAACTGAAGCAGTTAGGTCCTTCAGACTAAGCTTTGAGCAACTTACTCTAATCCGTGAGATAGAAGACTGTTGAAAGACGTGGCAACACCTGTGAATAAAGTTGGAGGCGGACGTGGCAGCCCACTCCAGTGCTCTGGCCTGGAGAGTGCCATGGACGGGGGAGCCTGGCAGGCTGCAGTCCGCAGGGTCACAGAGAGTCAGACATGACTCAAGCGACTTAGCACACACGCGTGAATAAAGTAGGAGGTCAGGAGATAAACAACCAAGTTTGGGCTTGCAGTACAAAATGCAGTTTTCCGTGGAAGTCTGCTGTTCAGTCACTGCCTGTCTCTCGTTTTACCTACTGAGAGGTCAGGAGTCGCGGATTTTGTGTGTGGTCCGATGGTACCACCCATCACTTTGCCATCCTTGCGCACGTCATCCAGGTGGAGACTCTTGGTTGGGGCACGCAGAGGGGCCTGTGGTCTCTGCTGCACAGCCGTGGCCTGTGCTAGGGTAACTTGTCGGTCCAGGTGCAGTGCTAAGTCTGGACAATGCTGGGCGGTTCTCAGGGTGGTCTAGCATTTCCTCTTGGCCCTTCACCCTCCCAAAGCCAAATACCCCTGGGCTAGGTCTCTGCAGCCCTCCTGGTTCTCAGCACCTGGTTTCTGCTGACAGACTGTCTCCAGGGCTGGCGGGGTCGCACCACTAACCACTTCATTGCTTGGGTACCTCGGTGGGTGTGGGTGGGTTCCGATGGGCACCTCTTTCAGTAGCCGCGCCTTTATGTTTGTACATCTTAGTGGAGGATGAGTGACATGCTGGAGTTCTGGGCTTGGGAAGTGTCAAGGTAGTTAAAGGGAAAGGGAAAGTACTCAGTGGCACTTGTTAAAGATGGTAGGTCCAGTGCGATGGGTGCAGGGGTTCTACAGTGGGAGAGGAGACAGGCCTCAGCTCCAAACCTGGGGGCCAGTGGGGGTCCAGGGCCAAGGAGCAGGCTGTGTGCAGCTCGGGGGCGAGGAGACCTGTTGGGGTGGTTCTGGGTGAGCTGCTGCAGCAGGTCACGCGTCCTCTGGGGGCGATGAGGGCTGAGGAGCCCAGTCAGATATCCGGTGCAGCAGGCATCAGGGCGGGGCCTGCATAAACTGAGCTGCATTATTTTCACACCTGGGTTTTACAAGCAGGAGCAGGCAGGTCAGGCCCCGCTGGTGTCAGGAGCCCGACTTGAGGCTGGCTGATGGCGCCTTTGTCTGGGACCGAGAGTGAGCATAAGCCGTTCCAGCAGCATGGACAGAGGGGCTGGCCCCTCCCCGAGGCCCCTGCTCCTCTGGGGCTCTGGTCCCCAGGCCTGGACTCCTCATCCTGTGTCCTTGTCTTGGGCTACAGGCAGCCCCCTGGATGGGCCCTGCGTGGGGGGAAGACGAGCGTCGTTCCACTACTGCAAAGCCAGGCGTGTGCCCTGCTCCTGCGCACCAGGGTCCCCCCTCCACAAGGCCCGGATCCTTGGTCGCTTCAGAGCCGCTCCAAGCCCCGGAGGAAGCCTCCCCACCCTTTTGCAAAAACAAAACCCGAAGAGCATCCACGCAACTTCAGGCGTTAGGGAGGAGGACGTCTGTGCTGCTCCTTTGAGAAAAGGAACAGTCGCGTCAGCAGGAAGCAGGTTGCTTAAGTGCAGGTGGCAAGCAGCTGGATCGTCTGAACTGCCTCTGCCTGTGCAGCAGCAGAGGAGGAGCCGCCCGGGGAACATCCCAGGGGAGAGCCGCTGATCAAGGCCTGGGTCCACCGTTCAGGAGCGACGAGCTCTCAGGCGCGGGAGCCCCGGGGTCTCCTGGGGAGGCCAGGCCCGCTTGCGGCTGAGGCCCCCGAAACTGACCACCTCTGTCCGAAGCTCGCTTTTCACAGGCTCTCAGGATGGCCACAGCTCCTGACCTCGGGCTGATGGTGAGGGTTCAGTGAGATCTCGTCACCAGCGAGGCTGAGAAGTAGGAGACCGACACACAGGAGGCTCTCCCTGTGGCTGACGGTTGTGATGCTGAAGTCCCCAGGCGACGTGACCGTTCTCAGATGTGAGGAATGGGGCGCCTCTCAGCGGGTCCGCTGTGGGCTTCCGTTGGCAGGGGGCGGGGTCGCAGCCGGGGCTGGGGCCGGGCGGGCCTTGCGCCCTTCGCCCACTGAGAAGTCCCGGACGTGCATACAGTAACTGTCCAACATCAGGGAGGGGAGGGCTTGGGTGCGCAGGCAGGGCCGTGTGTCGGGGAGCAGGCCTGGGTTTGGGAGGACTGACGCGAGCCGTCTGATGAACCGACAGCTGGCTGGCCACCGTCAGACGGAAGCTCCACTTCCTCCGTGCCCCAGCTCCTCGCCTTGCTCTGGGAGAAGCAGGAGTCTGTGCTTCTGGGCGGGGAAGGGGCGGGCCGTGTGGGCGCACCCCTGCAGCCGGCGCCCCGGCTTCATACCCCAGGGGCTGGGCGCCCGGGCTCTGGGCTGCTGGGCGCCCCAGGTCGGCTCCCCTGTCGCAGCCTGTGCCCCACATGCTCGTCTGCCGTTTCCCACGGCACTGTCTGCGCTGCAGTGGCAACGGCCACGTCCTAAGGAGCTGAAAGGACCAGAAGGCAGAATGGAGTGACCAGAGCCCTCATTCACAGCTGGATTTCAGCAGGAAGCACCGTCTCCCACGGGCCAGGGGCACTGAGCCGGGTAGAGGTTTCGAGACAGTCGGGAACAGCAGGAGATACCAAGTTTCAGCTGGCCTGAAATGGAGATCGTGGCCCACACAACTCAGTGCCAGGAGACCTACAGAGAAAACTGCTGGGTGTAGACCTTTGAGGAAATGTCTGTTCAAACCCTTGCCCATTTTAAGTCGAGCTATTTATCTTGTTGAATTGTAATAGCTCTTTATATATTCTGGATTACTAGAACGCTATCAGATATATGATTTGCAAATATGTTTCTGATTCTATGGGTTGTCTTTTTACTTTATTCTTTTGAAGCATAAACTTTAACATTTCTGTGAAGTCCAGTTCATCTGTTTTTCTTTGGTTGCTCGAACCTTAAGGATGATACCTAAGAAACCATTGTCTAATCCAGGGTCATAAAGGGTTACCTCTATGTTTTCTTCAATCAGTTCATGGTTTTAGCCCTTGCATTTAGGTCTGTCTTGGAACCTCCGACCCACTCAGTATTCTGAGTTAATTTTTGTGTGTGGTGTGAGGTAGAGGTTCTCACTCTTTTACTCTTAACCTACTTTTGTCTTTGAATACAAAATATGTCTCTTGTGGACATTATAGACTGAATCATGTTTTTTAAAAATGCCCGTTTTGCTGATCTTTGCCTCTTAATTGCAGTGTTTAACCTGCTCACATTTCATGTCCTTCCTGACAAGGTCGGATTTTTCTGCCATTTTGCCCTCTGTGTCTTATTCCTCCATTCCTCCATTAATGTCTTTTTTTGTGTTTTAAATAGATATTTTCATGTGTCATTTTAGTTCCATTTCTTTTCCTATATATTTTTTGGAGTTATTTTCTTAGTACTTTGTCTGGGGAACATAGTATTATTAATTTACCACAATCTAGTTTGGGTTAATGTCAGCTCACTTCAATAGTACACAAAGTCTTTGGTAAATGTAGCTCTGTTTCCTCTTCTTTTATACCATTATACCAACGATGTCTATATACACTTTGAGTCCATAAGCATACAATTATTGCTTTCTATGTGAGTGTGTGCTAAGTTGCTTCAGTTGTGCCCAACTCTTTGCTACCCCATGGACTGTAGCCCACCAGGCTCCTCTGTCCATGGTGGGATTCTCCAGGCCAGAATACTGGAGTGGGTTGCCATGCCCTCCTCCAGAGGATCTTTGAGACCCAGGGTTTGAACCTGGGTTTTCTGCATTGCAGGTGGATTCTTCACTGGCTGAGCAATCAGGGAAGCCTTTTGTTAGCTTAATGGTCAGCTGACCAACCCGGACAGCACGTTAAAAAGCAGAGACGTGACTTCGCCAACAAGGTCCATCTAGTCAAAGCTATGGTTTTTCCAGTAGTCATGTATGGATGTGAGAGTTGGACTATAAAGAAAGTTGAGTGCTGAAGAATTGATGCTTTTGAACTGTGGTGTTGGAGAAGACTCTTGAGAGTCCCTTGGACTGCAAGGAGATCTTGTCCATCCTAAAGGAAATTAGTCCTGAATATTCATTGGAAGGACAGATGCTGAAGCTGAAACTCCAATACTTGGGCCACCTGATGCGAAGAACAGACTCATTAGAAAAGACCCTGATGCTGGGAAAGATTGAAGGCAGGAGGAGAAGGGGACAACAGAGGATGAGATGGTTGCATGGCATCACCAACTTAATGGACATGAGTTTGGGTAAACTCTGGGAGTTGGTGATGGACGGGGAGGCCTGGTGTGCTGCAGTCCATGGGGTCACAAAGAGTCAAACATGACTGAGCAACTGAACTGCACTGAGCTGAACTGAATGTTTGGACAGAGACTCTCTAAACCCACGGAACCAACACCTCTGCTGCTTTCTGCGGAGGGGCTGAGTGTGTTAGGGAATGCCTCCACTCTTGCTGCCGCAGTCCATAACTCCATCTCAGGCTTCTCTGCCTGTGTGTGCAGGTTCTCCGAGTTAGCGGAGGTGAGAGCTTAGACATGCCTCGGGTCTTTTCTCTACACCCACCCAGTCCTGCACACTGGCATGGCCGTCTAGAATCCCAGGACTCTGTAAGTTCAGTGTCCCTGCGGATGTCTCGGCTCTCCCACTTTCTCCTTCAAGCTTTTTGTTAACCTGTTGTTTGCCCCAGCTGTCATCCAGGCATCTGCAGTATTCAGCAGTTGCCTTTGATTGTTTTTGCAGATAACTCCGGGAGACAGGCTGTTTGCACTGGGTGAACTTGGAGTCAGCTCACATAAAGACAGTTTTGATAGTGGGGTTTTCAAAGTAGCCGTCAGACAGGACAAACAATGATGGGTCTCTGAGGGTGGGGCCCTAGAGGACCACCCACCGCATCCTGCCACCCACTGGCTGCCTGGCTTCTGGTTTTCACCATGACGGTGGGCTGTTGGTTTCCACGGTATCATGAGGCTACAGGCAGTAGGGGATGGATGGGCACACACTGATGGCAAAACACTCACTGCTCCTGCTGAAATCAGTAAACATTAAACACTGTGCAGACTGCTGCATACTTCAGGTAAACCCCAGAATTCTGAAGTGTTGATCCTGACCATTTTTGACAAGAGTTCTCACTGCTTTTACGCAGGAGGAAAAGATCGGAGGCTCTCAGCCATTTCTGCTGCTGTCGCATCTCTGAGTGACTCCTGACTCTTCCTTCTCATGCCGTCGGAATCAGTCTGGTTTCCCACACACGGCGCCTCGGCAGCTGAAAGCTGGGGGGAGAGAAAGTGGGCGCTGTGCGGGCCTTTGTGCTACAGTGGTGCAGTCTCCAGCGTAGTCAGGTCCCTCCTTCCCATTTCTTCCCATGCCCATGAGACCTGCTTGGACGCCAGAACTGGGCTCCATCTGTGTTGGGCAGGGAGAGTCAGGGGCACCCGCGGGCTCCTCGTTTTCCGTCCCTGCCCCGTTCGATGAGTCCTGGGCTCTGCACCCCCCCTTCTGCAGGCCTGGGCCCTGTTCTGTGCGGGGCTTTGGCGAGTCTGTGGTCTGGCAATTAAGTGGCTGCGTCTCTATCTGCTCTGGAGGCCTCCCGGTGTAAGCCCCCTCCTCTGACTCTCATCTTCCCATCTGGCACAGCTGGGTGGCAGGATAATGGCTTTATTAAGCGCATCTTGCACTTAATTCCCCAAGGATGTCAGTCCGCCAGAGAAGACCGAATCTCTCCCGCAGCCTCAGTGACTTCTGTCCAGACCTGGGTGCGTCCAGGAAAGGCGCACACGGGCTGCTCTTCTGACCACCTGATTCTGGGCATCTGGGGGCTGACCTGGAGGGGGGCCGTGTCCCCACGTGGAGTTAGGTGAGCCCTGTGGGCCTGCCTGCCTGGGTGGGGTGAGCCACTCTGAGTGGGGCCTGGGGCCCAGGCATCAGCCAGCCCCCGGAGGCCTGGCAGGGGTCCAGGATAAGGACTCATCCCCTGCAGCCTCCGTGCAGGGCTGGGGTCTGAACACCCTGCCTCACGCTGCCGGGGAGCCAGCCTGCAGGTCATGTCTCAGCAGCGGGGAGGTCAGTGGTGTGGAGGGGCGGGACCGAAACCTAACCGCCGTGGGCTCCGATGCAGGGATCCAGCACGCAGGAGGCCGCGTGTGCAGGAAACTCGGAAACACCCTTGTTGGTCGACCAGTGTTTTCCACACTGTCCTTCAGGAAGTGGGTCCTGTTCTTGGAAAGCCACTTCAATGTTGGCTTGTTAAAGGCTCTGAGAAGTCCCGTAGTTAGGAATACCCAGTGTCTGATGGGCTGCTTCTGCATGTGGCCCCCAACTTCCTTTTGTCCAGTGATGCTGGCAGCACCCTTGGGAGGCAGGACACGCTCAGCCCTGGACCTGCCAGCACGTGAGGGGCAGGCGTCCTCTCTCAGATATCTCACCACAGCATCCTGACACTTCAGCCCCTGGGTCCCATGCGCACTCACAGTGGACTTAATGTTTTAGATCGTAAATGTGGCAAGCACACAAAAAATATTGAGAGTAAAATGGTAAACCCTGGTAGATAATACATGCTTTGTCAGCATTCTGCCTGTGTGCTATCGTGCGCTCATGCATGTGTGTGCATGCCCTTGCACACGTGCAGTGTGTGCGCATGTGTGTGCATGTGCACGTGTGCATGTGTGCATGTGTGCGTGTGTGCATGTGTGTGATTTAAAGCAGCGGGACTCACCACGAGCCCCCTGAGTCTCTCCCCCACCCTCCTCCCGCCCCAGCCTTAGCAGAAACCACTGCCCTGAGTTCTGCGCTTCTCTTTTCCCAGCACATCCTTGTTCTCTGCCTGCATGGGTCCGTGTCTCGCTAAATAATGTATATTCCGTCTCGCAGGTCTCCCGCCCTCTGTTCTGAGCATGTGTCTGCTTTGACCCTGCAGCGCTGCACCGCATTCCGCAGAGAGCACAGACCGCAGCTGCGCTCGGCTACCTAGCTGGGGGCGTCTGGGCTGCCCCTCAGCTTTCTCTGAGGTAAAGGAAGCTTTGATGGCGAGTTCTGAGTGTCCCTGGTTACAGGTGTGCGGGGCAGCGTGGCTGGGTCGTAGGGGAGGGCCCCCCTCATGTCACAGAAGGGCTGCCTTGCTGATGCTTGGTCTGCAGCCGAGGAGGGCTACGCTGTCTCACACCATCGCCGGAGGCTACCATACCAGACAGTCTCGTACCTGGATGGGATGGGAGGCCAGGCCTGGACCCGAGGCGGGGTTTGTGGGCGAGCCTGCAGTGCGGCCCTCTTCAGGGAGGAGGGCTCTGGAACATCAGGGAGCTGACCCCCCATGTTATTCCAAGAGAGTGCTGTTCTCAGGCAGGTCACCCTCAGACCCCTCAGACAGATGACGCCACCTCCCAAAGTCCGAGACTTTTCCAGAAACTGGAGTAGCTTCAACCTGAACTCGGCAGTTCCAAGTACTGGAGGCTGGGTACTGGGGTCATAGTTCAAAGGTTTTCTAAGGTCGTAGCACCGTCTGTCCCATCCTTTCATGCAGAGACGCTCCAGTCTCACACTCAGAGGTGTGCATTTGGAGTGTGGAATCAGTTGCCCCTACCCAATCTGAAAGGACTCCGAGTCCTCTTCTGTGCTTACGCGTGCACCACGGATCTGTGGCTCTGAGTCAAGCGACCCTGAGCGCTGAGGTGGTCTGATCTCACGTCTGGTCTGGGTTAGTGTGGAAGGTGGATCTGTCTGGGAATCAGACTTCCAGGGGCAGGAAACGCCTGGCCTGTCTAGGTGCTCGGTACACACGCAAGAATAGTCAAACCCTCCAGTGCCCACCTCCTAGCCCTGATGCCACCATTACTTCTGCTTCCCGACACCCCTTCGTTCCTCTGTGCACTGTGCCTGTCTTCTGCCTGTTCCCTTCGGGCTCTGTGTTCCAGTATTCTGCCTGTTCCCTGTGAGCTGTGTGCCTGTCTTCTGCCTGTTCCCTGTGAGCTGTGTTCCTGTCTTCTGCCTGCTCCCTGTGAGCTGTGTGCCTGTCTTCTGCCTGCTCTCTGTGAGCTGTGTGCCTGTCTTCTGCCTGTTCCCTGTGAGCTGTGTGCCTGTCTTCTGCCTGTTCCCTGTGAGCTGTGTGCCTGTCTTCTGCCTGTTCCCTGTGAGCTGTGTGCCTGTCTTCTGCCTGTTCCCTGTGAGCTGTGTGCCTGTCTTCTGCCTGTTCCCTGTGAGCTGTGTGCCTGTCTTCTGCCTGTTCCCTGTGAGCTGTGTGCCTGTCTTCTGCCTGTTCCCTGTGAGCTGTGTGCCTGTCTTCTGCCTGTTCCCTGTGAGCTGTGTGCCTGTCTTCTGCCTGTTCCCTGTGAGCTGTGTGCCTGTCTTCTGCCTGTTCCCTGTGAGCTGTGTGCCTGTCTTCTGCCTGTTCCCTGTGAGCTGTGTGCCTGTCTTCTGCCTGTTCCCTGTGAGCTGTGTGCCTGTCTTCTGCCTGTTCCCTGTGAGCTGTGTGCCTGTCTTCTGCCTGTTCCCTGTGAGCTGTGTGCCTGTCTTCTGCCTGTTCCCTGTGAGCTGTGTGCCTGTCTTCTGCCTGTTCCCTGTGAGCTGTGTTCCTGTCTTCTGCCTGTTCCCTGTGAGCTGTGTGCCTGTCTTCTGCCTGTTCCCTGTGAGCTGTGTGCCTGTCTTCTGCCTGTTCCCTGTGAGCTGTGTGCCTGTCTTCTGCCTGTTCCCTGTGAGCTGTGTGCCTGTCTTCTGCCTGTTCCCTGTGAGCTGTGTGCCTGTCTTCTGCCTGTTCCCTGTGAGCTGTGTGCCTGTCTTCTGCCTGTTCCCTGTGAGCTGTGTGCCTGTCTTCTGCCTGTTCCCTGTGAGCTGTGTGCCTGTCTTCTGCCTGTTCCCTGTGAGCTGTGTGCCTGTCTTCTGCCTGTTCCCTGTGAGCTGTGTGCCTGTCTTCTGCCTGTTCCCTGTGAGCTGTGTGCCTGTCTTCTGCCTGTTCTCTGTCTGGGCTGTTGGACGTTTTCTTTATGATTTGTAGCAGCTCCTCACGTATTTTGAATCAAGATCTTTCATCAATTATTTTCATACCAAACATCTTTCCCAGTTTGTAGCTTGTTCTTTCATTTTGTTTATTGTGCCTTTTGTCTGACAGCAGCTGTAAACTTTAGTGCATTCAAAGTTCTCAGTCTTTTTTTGTTGTTGTTTGCTATTTTGTGTCTTATTCCATAACACATGAAGATATGTTCCTGTTTTTTTATAAGGCTTATAGTTGTTTTTCACCATTTAATTCTATATCTTTAGGAAAATGCTGTATGCTTTGAGTTGACGATTTCCTGTTTTCTGCAGGGATTTCTGTCTCCCGTCGCCTACCCTTTGGTCTGCAGACTCACGGGAGGAGCTTCTGGGCTCCCTGCTGCCCCTCTGGCCTCCTCCTTCTGGGCCGACATCGCACAGTTCTGGGCGCTAAAGCTTCGTGGTCGATCTGATAACTTATCATGGGGGGTTCACAGCCCTGTGCTCAGGGTGTCAGAGCTAGTCTTAGTCCTTTGTTCATCCACATAAGTTTTAGGATTAGTGTGCATGTTCTACAAAATTCCCTATTGGGATTTAATTGAGATTAAGTTAAATTTATAGATCAGTATAGGAGAACTGTCGTTTCTATGATGCTGAGTCTTCTCACCCATGCTTGTGGCATATCTGCCTAATTTACTTTGGTCTTCTTGTATGTTTGTCAATGAAGTCTTATAATTTTCTCCAGAAAGATCATGCACTTTTGTTAGATTTCCTTCTAATCTTGCAAACGTGTTGTTATCGTTCTCGGTGTCTTTCTAAATGAAATGTTCTGACTGCCGTGCCTGTGGCTCCTGTATCCTGGAGACAAGGTTTGTGTCTGTGCTTGGATCTCGGGTCCTTCCCTGCATAGCTTGTTGTAGGTTCTCCGAGACTTTCAGTGGAGCTGAGCTTTTAATTTGTGTGTAGTGAAAATTTTCGTTGCTTCCCTTCCAATCCTTATTCATTTCATTTCCTTTTGTCTTACTGCACAAGCTGAGGCTTTCCATACAGCATCGAGTAGCTGTGATGATAGTGGTCGTCATTGTCGCGCTCCTGACTGAGTGGGTGATGCTCCTAACGTGTGCTAGTCGCTCAGTTGTGTCTGACTCTTCGCCTCCCCGTGGGCTGTGGTTCCCCATGCCACCCATCAGGCTTCCCTGTCCACGGGATTCTCCAGGCAAGGACACTGGAGTGGGCTGCCATTTCCTTCTCCAGGGGATCTCCCTGGCCCCGGAGTTGAACCCAGGTCTCTCACATTGCAGGCAGATGCTTTACTGACTGAGCCACCAGGGGAGCCCTGGGCGTTCACTGTTGGCTGTGACTCTGCAGTATGTTTTCGTGTACACTTGGGATCACACTTAGGAGCTCCGTTTTGTTCCTGTTTTATTAAGAGTTTTTGTTGAGAATGGCCATTAAGTCATATCAAAATGCTTATCATACACACATGAGGATGACTTACGGTTTTCCCTTCAGTCGTTGAAAATAAATGTGGTGATGGTTGTGTCCAATGTGCATACCCTTACGTTGTTGGAAGGCGTTATTTGGGTCATTTCTTTGGAGACGACTGTCGGAAGCGGTCAGCCTGTGTGGAGGTTTTCCTTCTGTGGAGATCACAGAGGCCGTCTGAAGGAGAGGAAGCAGAGGCTGTTTGTGCAGAGGTTTCTGTCGTGGGGGAGAGAGCCAGCACTGTTTGCACATGGGGGCCTCAGAGGCAGGCCGGGGAGCCCCACAAGAAGGCGGGAGCCTGAGTCCCGGAGCCATCAGGCACGTACTTGGGTTCTCCTGCCGGTGCTCAGTTGGAAAGAGGGCCAGGGGTGGGGACGCTCTCAGCTGCTGAGCCGTCTGGACAGGGCTGTCATCTGACTTCCCTCCAGCGTGACCTGCAGGAGGCAGGCCGGACACCTGAGTCCACGTCTGTAGGAGACGGTAGGTTTCCTGGGCTGGTTGCCGCAGACTGTGGCGCTTGTTCTGTCTCTGCGTGTGGTCTGCCTGTTGTCTGTCTGTAATTCAGTCTTTCCCCTCCGAGGGGTCTCCATTTCAGCCGGGGTCTGCACGGGGCCATGACTTTCCTGCTGGCCCCTGCAGCAGCGTCGGGATCCAAGCCCTGCCCTCCTGAGAGCAGGTCGCCCCCACGCCCGGCCCAAGCCACCCCAGCGACGTGGTTTCCAGCTGCTCCCCTCTTGCTTGTGGCTGATCCACTTTTCCTCCGGGTCTAGATCCTGGCACTCTCCCTGCCCCCGTTTCCTACCAGCTCCTCTTGCCTTCGGAGGAGTATTTGTCGGATTTTATCTACTCTTTCTGTGTGTTTGCAGCAGGGGATTGTCAGGGCTTGCCGTCTGCCAAGTTCCTGGTACCAGAAGTCTCCAAGCGTCTTTAAAGTGGGAAGCGTTTTCATTCATTTTTTGCTGAAAAACACTCATTAACTCTGTCTTGCAGAGGGCTGGAGCTGGCAGCCCCAAGCAGGATCTGGACCTTGCTCAGGTTTTTCTTCATAATGAAACTGAAGACGGTTCGTTAGAGCCCTGGTGCAGAGGCTCTGCAGAAGCACCCCCTTGATTGCTCACAAGGATGCCCCAGCCCCTCCCCGCACCCTTGCCCTTCCGTGCGGTGCAGCCCCTCCGGTCAGGCCCCCTCCCCGCCTCTGGGCCGCCGGGCCCGCCCTGGCCGGTGGACGTCACCGAGGTGACAGGGCTCTGGCTTCCTGTCCAGGCCTCAGGGGGCCTGTGCCGTCCACCGCGGCTCCTGTGCGGCCCGGCTCCCATGGGGACAGGCCGGGCTGCCCCACAGGGGACGAGCCACACGGGGCAGGGCTGTGCCCGGGGAGCCCGCGGCCACCGGGCAGCAGGGGTGCTCACATGGGTGCCACAGTAACACATGGTCAGCGTGTGGCCATCTCCTCACGTGTGAGCCTCTCGTTTGGGTGACTGATGGTGCAGCAAAAGCTGGCGGGCCCGCCCTGTGCCGGGTCGGCCATCGCAGCCACCCGTGGCCCAGGCCTGGGGCTGGCTGGACAGCCTGGGAGAGCAGGGGGGAGCCCCTGGGTCAAGTGCGATCAGTGGTACTGGGGGCCCGGAGGTGCTGCAGCGGCCTTGGGTCTGCAGGGTGGGAAGGGCATGCGGGGTAGGAGCGGGCGTGTGTGCGGAGAGAGGAAGGAGAACAGGGCTGGGGGGTGGCCGGGGGGGACCCCGCTTCCGCCACCCACCGGCCGTGTGACTTGGGAAGTCCTGATCTGAGCCCAGCTCTGCTCATCTGAACGCAGAGGGCTGAGATGAGACTCTGGTCTCTGCCCGAGGAGGCTGAGGAGGGCTAGGAAGCCAGTGGGGGGGGGAGGCCCTGCTAAGCGGGGTTCCTGTGTTCTGAGGTTCTTGCTCAGTGACCAGTGGACAGGCCCTTCCACCTGCCTTCCTGCTTCTCCACCGAGACCCCGTCCCTGAAACTTGCTGCCACGGGGCCGACAGCCTGGAGTTCCTGGCTTGCACGGGAATCCCACTAGCAGCTTCCTTCCACCGTCGGGGGCCGTGGCCCATGTCCCCTTTCTGTGAGTGATCTGGGGCCACAGGGCGCCCTGGAATTGTGAGGTTGAGGAGCCCGGTCCCGAGCCGCAGCTTTGGAACACGACCAGTGGGGCACAGGACTGGCGGGCAGCGGGAAGCTGCAGCCGCTTCGGGGGAGTGCTTTCACGCCGGTCTGAGTCACTCAGAGGCCAAGGTAGCTGTGCCAGCCTCAGGCGTCAGAGGCGCTCTGCCACTCGGGACGTGCTCACCCTCACCTCCTCCCCAGCTCGCCCCGTGCGTCCTCTCCTGGGGCAGGCTCAGCCGGCCCTCAGCCGCGCTAGGCTCTCAGGATGAGGGCTTCTCCCCAACAAAGAGGACAGAGGAGCCAGGGGTCTGTGCACAGGGCCCCCGGCCGGCAGAGGAGGGGCCTGCAGAGGAAATGGGGGTTGGTACCACAGGGAGGGGGCAGGGTGCTGGGCAGGTGAAACCACAGGGGTCTGCTCCTCAGGACGCCCGGCACTCCGAGGCCTCCTGGTTTGGCCCTGTGTTTTCAGGAGGGAAGGGAGGGGGCCAGGGCGCAGTGTGTGGGTAAGGACACACATCAGGGGACCTGACACCCGGGGGCCTGGAGAGGCTTCCTGCATGGGGACCGGGCTCCGTGGGGGTGGGGTGAACCAGACTGCGTCTCACTGCGCCTCTGCTTCTAGAGTGTCCCCTCAGAGCCCCCTGGGATCTCTGAAAACACACCTCTGACCCCCGGTGGCTCAAAGCCCTGGTGACTACCCAGTGCCCCTGCCTCCCCGGAACACGTGGGCCCTCCACGGCCGTCTCCTTAATTCTTCAGGAGATGGGAACACCAGACCACCTGACCTGCCTCCTGAGAGACCTGTGTGCAGGTCAAGAAACAACAGTTAGAACTGGACATGGAACAACGGACTGGTTTCAAATCTGCAAAGGCTGTATATTGTCACCCTGCTTATTTAACTTCTATGCAGAGTTCATCATGAGAAATGCCTGGCTGGAAGAAACACAAGCTGGAATCAAGATTGCCAGGAGAAATGTCAATAACCTCAGATATGCAGATAACACCACCCTTCTGGCAGAAAGTGAAGAGGAACTAAAAAGCCTCTTGATGAAAGTGAAAGAGGAGAGTGAAAAGCCTGGCTTAAAACTCAACATTCAAAAAACTGAGATCATGGCATCCGGTCCCATCACTTCTTGGCAAATAGATGGGGAAACAATGGAAACAGTGACAGACTTTATTTTCCTGGGCTCCAAAATCACTGCAGATGGTGACTAAAGCCATGAAATTAAAAGATGGTTGCTCCTTGGAAGAAAAGCTATGGCCAACCTAGACAGCATATTAAAAAGCAGAGACATTACTCTGCTGACAAAGGTCCATCTAGTCAAAGCTATGGTTTTTCCAGTGGTCATGTATGGATGTGAGAGTTGGACCATAAAGAAAGCTGAGTGCCAAAGAATTGATGCTTTTGAACTGTGGTGTTGGAGAAGACTCTTGAGAGTCCCTTGGACTGCAAGGAGATCCAACCAGTCCATCCTAAAGGAGATCAGTCCTGGGTGTTCATTGGATGGACTGATGTTGAAGCTGAAAGTCAAATATTTTGGTCACCCGATGAGAAGAGCTGACTCATCTGGAAAGACCCTGATGCTGGGAGGGATTGAAGGCAGGAGGAGAAGGGGACGACAGAGGATGAGATGGCTGGTTGGCATCACCAACTCAATGGACATGAGTTTGAGTAAACTCTGGGAATTGGTGATGGACAGGGAGGCCTGGCGTGTTGCGATTCATGGGGTCGCAGAGAGTCGGACACACCTGAGCGACTGAGCTGACCTGGCCAGCTTTTGGCCGCTCTGCTCGCTGGTGCTGCCTGGGGTCAAGCGGGGTTTGCTTTACGCCTGCGCCTCTGCACTCCGGGTCCTTGGGCTCAGCCCCCACCGTCCCTTACCTGGCCACGCCTGTGCAGAGCAAGCAGGTAACAGCAGCACGACCTGGGTGCCAGGCGTGTGCCCCCACGGCCACACCATGCAAAAGCGCCAACCCTGTCTTCTATTGTGCTCATTTTCAGAGCCGGGAAAAGGTCCAGCTGTTGGCTTTCAGCAGGAAGAAGCGCAAGCCCAGACCTCTGTGCATCAGCATGCTGACAGTGGGAAGCACCCTGTCCCCCTGAGGGCCGATCCTGGCTGACAGAAGCGGGTTAAGGGGGCGGGAGCCTGAGACCAGAGGCATGAATGTGGGGAGCGGGGGTCACACAGAGAGCCGCTCGAGCAGCCCCGAGCCTGGAGACCTCCCTCAGCCCTAAATAGGAGACCTGCGTGCGGCTCACTGCACCAGAGCAAGCAGCGGAGAAGGTTCAGAATCACAACTGAAGTCCTCTTAACTCTCCCCGGGCTGTTCCGCACTCCCACCCCTGACATAATCGTCTCTAAATGATCTGTTTCTGTCCTGACCTTTTTTAAAATGCACATACATATACATATATAATTGTAGTTTAAAAAATAAATGGGATCCTGTTCTATTATTATTTGATTTTTTTCAGTTGACAATATGCTTCTGAGTTCTTTCTGCATCTCCGTGGATCTGTTTTTTAAACATCCTTTTAAAGATGATGATGTAGTTTTCTAATAGTTCCCTAATCAACGAAGACATTTATTTCCAGTTCTTTCTTTTTTGTGTTTGTGTGCACGCAACACGTGTATGAGCACGTGTGTGTGTGTTCGTGCGTGCCCAGGACTGCCTCTCCCCTTCTCCTCACCTAACAGGACTCTCCCTTGGGGCCTGACCCATCGCAGCCCATCAGGTTATGTGTGGCCCCAGCCCCGGCCTCCAAGGTGGGGGCCTGTGACTTGACCCCCAAGTGCCTCCTCCATGAGGGCTCCTGGAGAGTCTCGGGCTCGGTACAGGCCGACCAGGGTGCCTCTGGGACTCTCCACACGGAAATGAGCTCACAGCCTGTTGGGGATGCTGTGGGGGACAGATGGCCACGCTGCCCCCAGGTCAGCAGCAGAGACCAGCGAGGGGCCCGGCGGCCTCCTGGGTAAGTGAGCCCACACGGCCCAGCTCAGAGTGGGTTCTCACTGAGCGTCTCCTGCGTACCTGGTACCACTTTAGGGCAGACATGCCAGGCAGGGAGTCTGCTCTCATGGGGCTCCGTCGGAGGTGACAGAGGCGGTCCCCACAGCAGCACCTGGGTCATCAGGTCATTCCGATGATGAGTGTGGTTCCAGGGTAAGTCCCCAGTTCTGGGAGACTACGTCACTGTGGTGACTGGCCATGTGGGGGGCGTGCGTGCAAGAATTCCTCAGTCGAGTCGGCTGGCGGCTTCCGATGGCTCAGGGAGGTTTGCGGGGTTTTATAATCTCAGCTAGAGCTGCGTCGAGGAGCCAAAGAGCTGCTCTGTGCAGGTGTGGGCAGGTATGGGACGGTGGGGGCTGACCTCCCCGGCGTGTAGAGGTGCAGGGCATAAAGCAAGCCCAGCCCAACCCCGTTCAGGGCTAGTAGCAGCTCCCTGACGCAGCCCGTTCTCCCCATGGACTACAGGGCTGACAGAGCCCAGACCGGCTCCAGGTTTGGCTGTGGGGCTGCAGAAGCGCAGCCTCAACCCAACGAGCGGCACGACAGACCTGCTGCATGAAAGCGGGGTGCTGGCTGGAAAGGGGGACCCTGGGGAGGGGACCAAGCCCTTGCCTGAGAGTCGCCTCTGCTCCCCGTCTGAAGAGGCCAGGCTGCTCTTCTTGAAGCCCCTGGAATGACCCCCCGCACACCCAACGTCCTCGTGAGAGGGTGCTGGCTCTCGTTGAGCATTAAGGCTGCATCTCACTGCCCGCAGGGCCCGTGTGTGCTGCGGACAAGCCCAGCGTCCGGCCAGATGATGTCAGGTGCTGGGGGTACAGCGTCCCCCCCAGCCAGCTTGTGGTGGGGCAGGAGGCGGCCCCATCTGTCTGCATGCCTGCCCTCCCCTCCACGCCAGCATCCTCCAGCCCCTGTGTGCAAGCTCACCTGACGCTGTTTCCCAGCACCGTCTAAAGTCACGTCTAAAGTCACTCCGCATAGCCCGCAGAGCTTCGCCCTCCTTGTGCAGCAGGTTGTGTCTGTTCTGACTCTTTATTAGGCACCGCCTGCCCTCAGGTGTCTCCACCTCCCAGACCCGTGTCTGTGTGATGCAGGGTCGGAGGCTGAGCTGCAGAGGGAAGAGAAAGGGGGTCCTTAGGCAGAGAGCTGCTGAGAGTGGGGAGGGGCCTGGGGCGGGGCTGGGGGCAAGTCTGAGAAGGGTCCAGGATTACGAGCCAGCTGCCCGAGCTCCTTCAGGGATGGAGGTCGAGGCTGCCCAGCTTTTCCACATGCATCGGGCTTTTCTGAGAGTGGCCCCTGCAGAGACTCAGGGCTGCGCGGGGGATGTTTAGTCCTTTAAGCTGTAAAAGAGGAAACGGGGCTTGAGCCTCAAGCTCTGCACTAACTCTTGGGGGCCGACTGTTCTCTGGGGGGTCGTCCCGCACATGTGGGGTGTCCCTGGGCTCCGCCCGCTGAATGCCAGCGCCCTCCCGGGTCCAGGCCTTGCCAGCTCTGGAGACATAGTCTTCCTGAGTGAGGACGGCTGGTTGGAGGAAACTGAAGCAGGGAGGGGTCATTTCCTCCCTGTTATGAACAAAAAAGCTTAGAATTATGCGATGCAAGGATGTAGCTATTTTCTTAAAAATTAACGTAATTTCTAATTATAAAATTACTGCACTACAGCTGCCGAAAACATGGGAAATGCAGAAATGCACAACGTAAACAAAAAGATGGCCCTTCACACCCTCCAGAGATAACCACTCCTAATATTTCACAGTACAATCCGCTGTCATTTTCTATGCATGTAAATAGACATATTTTCTATTTTGAACAGAAGGAGACGCTGCCCTGCACACAGCTGTGTAACACGCTGTTCCCGTTTAACGACATGTGACGGCCATCTTTTCATGTCAATGAGTGTAACTGTGCCGCACAGACTTTCCCGGCCACGGTGTGACTGTGTGATGGTGTAATGATTTACTCAGGCCCCGTTCCTCCTGAAAACATTCATTTTTATTGCACAATTAATGTATATTTATTGTAGGGAAAATTTTAAATGAAAGTAACCACAGGTAGGAAGTACACCGATCACTCACAGCCTCCGCAGCAGTGGCTAATCAGTGTTTGTAGCATACAGGTTTTCTTACTTTTCTTACAAAAATGGCTTTTGGGGAATGTACTATTTTATCTCGTCTTTCGCTCAATGTTTCTACTCTGCTATACCTACTCTTAGGATACCATTATCGATGGCTGCACAGAATGCCATTGTGTGAAAACATGTGATTTTATGTCGCCAGTGATTGCTTATTAGTTGATATTTAAAAATAGGCTTCTTATTTGCCATTCAAAAGAGCACCACAATAAAGAGGCTTGTAGCAAATTATTTTTCAGGATGAATTTCTACAAGAAGAGCGGGTGGGTCAGAAGTTGCACAAAGTAGGTGCGGATCGGCCGGTGAAATCGCCGTCTAAAAGCCACACCACTTTGTCTCCACCAAGAGAGTGTGAATGCCCATGTTCCCACACTCCTGTAACACTGACTATAATAACAGTAATAATAAAGTGCCGACTTTATAGGTGAAAATGATAGCTGGTTGTTTTAATTTGCATGTACTTGAATACTAATGAGGCTGAGCAGAGTTTCGAATGCCTTTTGCTATTTGTATTTATTCTATTGAAAATTGTTCCTATTCTTTGCTCATTTTTCTATTTGTATGCTAATATTTCCTTGGTTATTTATATGTTAAGGCTATTAACCCTTTCCCTGGACACATATGTTGTGATTATTTCCCCAAATAATCTTTCTCTCTTTCATTTCATTTTCTTCTCTTTGTTGACTTCGTCTGTTTAGTAGGAGTTTCAGATGCGCTGACGTAGTCAAATCCTCTCTTTTGTGATGTTGCTTTTGGTGTCACCCTCAGGAAAGCTTTCCCGGCTCACACGCTCGTCTGTACTTGATGGTTTTTTACGTTAATTTTCCATTTTTCTTCCTGGAACTTGCTTCCTTTAGATAACACTGTGGAGCAGAACTGTGTTTTCTCGCCACCCTGACCGGCTCCCCCCTCCCAGGAGGGTGGGGCGGCTCTGGTGCCCCATATCCCGCCCTGTGGGCCCACAGCTCAGCGTCCTCAGCCCCCCTGTTCTCGAGGCCTCTAGCAAGCTGTGACACCCGGAGACCCCGTCTCCTCTTTTCAGCACTTCCCCGTCTGTCCGTGAATGAATTAAATCTACCTGGGCCGCTTTGCAGTGATATTTTCCAAATCAAAAAGATAAAAATCCTGGTTGGATCTTGAGTTGAATTGTGTCGTCTTGAGAGGTCAGTTTGGGTTGCGTTTATATAAATGCCATAATAGGATTAAATCTTCCAAACAGGGGTCAGGCATGTCTCTGTGTACCCAATTCTTCCTTCAACTTTTCTGAAGGTCTTTTTAAAACTTTGTGAAACAAACAAACAAAAAGAAATCTCCAGCTGTATTGCGTGGAGGACACAGAGCTGGACGGCTCCTCCAGTTTTGGTTTCTGTTGAACGGGTTCATTCAGGTATTTCGATGGTCAGATATCTCACCAGGCTGTTCCAGCGGCTGCGGAGAAAGGGGTGTTTTGTAAGGTTCCAAGTTTTCTACACCTGTTCCCCTGCCCCCACCCCGCCTGCTCCCCCCCCGCCTGCTCCCCCCCCCCCCCCGCCTGCTCCCCCCCTCCTCACAGAAGACACCTCCTGCTGTTACTCGAAGTCTTTATTGCTGCTTTGCTCCTGCGCACGCGCTCCCTCAGGACTGTGAGCAGGGCGTCACAGCCCTTTTCAGTAGGCTGTGCTCCCCGCTCCCTCGGGTTTGCCGGGTTTAAACCGTCTGTGTTGGCTCTGCTGTGACAGCTGGGCGCTCCTGGTCTGTGCAGCGCTTTTTGTCTTAAATTCGGCTGCGTCTGAAGCCTGTAGTTGACCCGAGATTTCCTTCTGATTTTATATCCGGGTGTATTTTTATCTTTTGTGACTTTGCTTTGCAAGTGTCTGCCATGAACAGCATTTAGCTTGATTTTGTTTTACTCGGTGTAAAAAGGTGGACTCTTAAGTGCAGTGTGCTTTATAGCTATTGTGAAACAGCAAGTTAAGAGCGTGTTGTAATTAATAATTTCAGGCTGACTTCTGTCATCTTCTCTTCTGTTTTTTCCCCCTTTTCCAATCTTCTAAAGATTCCATTGCCATTTTATTTGCTTTTTTTATGAATTTCAAGGTTGTGGAAAATTCATGTGTTCTGTTTTTAGCTTAAGTCATTTCAGCGTTTCCGACACATTCTGTAGGCCCTATTTTCCTAGTTGTCGGAGTCAGCAGCCAAGGACACCATGTTCGGGGGTCTGCCCACTTAAGACAGCTTTTAGGATGTTTTTGGTTGTAAGAGGCAGAAATCCTGAAGAGACTGCCTTCAGTCTGGAACTGCCACCAGTTCCAGGTGGCAGGCGGGCAGCCTTGGCCAGTGCAGGGCGGCGGCAGCTTCTGGCAAGACCAGCTCCCCGACACCTCGGGCCCGTGCACGTTTGCTTTATAATTGTCTGCCTGCAGGCCTGTCCCCGGCCGGGGCACCAACAGGGTGGCTCTGTGAGGACCGATTCCAGCACCCGTGTGTGGTGGTCTCCTCTGCGGGGCCCCAAGCCCTGTGGTCTGAATGAAGGGCTGCCCCAGGCCTGCGGCTGCTCTCTGCCCTCGAGCACTCGTGTTTCCTAGAATCGCGCGGGGTGGAGTCACGGCACCTTCTCGAGTGTGGGCAGCTCTGGCTCAGGTGACGGCTCTGCAGTGCCCCACGATGTGGTCGGCAGGTCACAGTCCAGGGGGTCACAGCCAGACATGACTGGACACACACACACACAGACACACAGACTCACACACACAGACACAGACACACAGACACACACACACAGACTCACACACACAGACACAGACACACACACACACAGACACACACATAGAGACACACACACACAGGCACACACAGACACACACATGATGTGCTCAGCAGCTTCCACTGCCTGCATGCGCCACGCTCTGCCGGCCCCCACAGACCCCCCTGAAGCCCCTTCCACACTTGGTTGCAGGCACGCGGCCCCTCAGCTCTGTCTGGCCCTTGTCTCTGACCCCGCACGTGGGGCCTGGGTCCCTCTCCCGCGTCAGCCTTGGCACACCCCCAGTCTCTGTCTCCGGCTCCTGCACACAGCGGCCCCTCCCCAGCCCCTCCCCCCACTGGAACGCGACCACAGGCCTGGGGGCTCAAGTGACGCGAGCGCTCTCACCGTTCTGGGCTTGGGGTCCTGGCATGGAGACCCTGGAGACCTGGGTCCTGGCTTTTCCCAGCTTCTGGGGCTCAGCCATTTCCATCCTCTGCCTCTTTCCGGGAGTCTGCCCGCTGCCCTGGTAAGGACAGGTGACTCCCCGGGCCCACCTCGGGGACCCAGGACCAGCGCCGCCCCGCCCCCTCCTTCACCATCAACCATCAACCTCCGGCTCCCCGCCTGTGACCCGCCTGGGGCCCGTGTCCAAGTGTGCACGACCTGTTGCGGAGTGTGTCCACTGTGATGTGTGTGTCCTTGGGTTGATAGGAGTGTTGAGTGTGTGTCTGTGAGCACGTATGAGCGTGTTACTGGCCCCCAGGGGATGGCCCAGCCTCTGTCCTGCTGGGGGTCTGTATGCCCGTCCCTTCCGCCCCCAGCCTCCCCACGCGCTGGAGGAGGGGAGACAGGAGGACAGGGTGCATTCTCCCCCACCGAGCCAGCCCCCCAGACGCCCTGCGCCCCCCACGGGCTCCGCTCTGGCCTCCTTCTGAGAAGATAGCGCCTTCGCGCACGTCGGCCACAGACGTCTCAGCTCCGTGTGCGTCTCCTCAGGTGGGGGTCATTGCCTGACGATCAACTAACTGACCGTGAAGCCGGCCACAGCTCGCTGCGTGCCCTCGCCCACACCCCTGCACGCATAGCCAGGGTCTCGTCCCAGTGAGCGGAGGGCACTGCCGCCACTCTGCCCCTTGGGCGCCCCTTCCCCCGGTGCCCGGAGCTGCTGGCATCTGGACTCTGGTCCCACAACCCCAGGGGGTCTCCCAGCTCAAAGTCTGTGTCTCAGTTCAGGGCTGGCCTGCATGCTCCCGGGCCTCAGGGCACTGCAGTTGGGAGCCGAGAAGTGAGGCCCCGAGGGGCGGACGGTGGGTCTGGGCGACGCAGCCTGCCCTGCACGGCAGCCCTGGGGGCCGGTCTCAAGCCCTTCAGACCGGCCGGCCTGCGGCCTGCACTGACCTCGTCCTGAATCCTCGGCCCACCCCGCTCAGATCAAGGTGCTCCGGCCCGGAAGTTTCTGAGGCCTCCTGGAGCTGCTCAGCGGCCCTCGGCTCCACCGGGCTGGTCCTTCCCAGGACCGGATGGCAGTTTGGTTCACTGAGCTTGTCTGTCACTGGACCGTCTGGTCACCATGGTGCCAAACCCCGGCCTGGCGAGAGTAGCCAGGTGGCCAGACGCCCTGTGAGGCCTTCTGGTCTGGGGGCAGCGGGGAGGCCCCCCGCCCGCCCCCCGCCAGGGCTGATCTGACACGGATGCCGCGCTGTGCCTGTGGCGGGAGATGGCAGCCAGGCAGACGGGCCTGGAGTGGTGGGTGCGTCTCAGCTACCGGCAAGCCCCGGACCCAGGCAGCCCTGGTGCCCCGCGGCCCCTGTTTGCTGGGCTAACCGGGAAGGAGGGTGCCGGAGGGGGTTCGATCTATTCTGGGCTCAGACCAGAGGCGCTCAGGGCTCGTGCGTGTGCACACGTGTGTGTGTGTGGCGGGAGGGGGGTGGAGGAGAGAGCCAGCGAGGCAGGAGCTTGTACACGTGTGCACGTGGCACATACGTGTGTCTGTCTGGTCCGCCTGGCTCCTGCGTGTGCCTTTGTGTGTGTGCTGTCTTCGGGTGAGTGTGTCTCTTTCCTTGAGTGCATGGGTACATGGAGGTCCTGTGTGTTGTCTGTGGCTCGTGGGAGCTGTGGGCACACTTCTCGGGGCAGGTGTTCTCTGTGGCTTTGGGCGGGTCTCTGTATTTATGGCCTGAACTGTGTGTGTGTGTCTGGAACGTGCGTGCATGGGGCTGAGATGTCCCTAGTCAGCGCTGCTTGAAGCGTGTGTGTTTGCGAGAATTAGATGCAGGCTGGGCCTGGCTTCCTCTCTCGGAGGGAAGAGGGCTCGTATGCATGCGCACGCAGTAACTAGGGACTCGACTTGGGGGGCGTTGGCTCTAGGGTCCCTGTGGAGCCTGAGGTCCAGGTGCAAGGCCTTCTCCAAGGGCACCGGCCCCCGCCCCAAAAGTGATGCCTGCCGCCAGCTCCCAGAAGGACGGCCTGGCCTTGAGCCCACTGGGAGCTGTCAGGATCCTGCAGGCATGCTGATGCCAAGGATGCCTCCTGCCGCTAGGCCGGCATGTGGAACAGAGCTCGCGTCCCTGGGGCCAGCGGTCACTGCCGTGAGCCGGAGCAGAGCAGACAGCGTCCTGGGGTGTGCTTGCTCAAGCTGCGTGTGCACAGACACGGGCTGGGCGCAGAGCAGCAGCACGCGGGCCTGGTCGCCAGCTGCCACGGTTCTACTGGGCCATCCTGGGCTAGAGGGCAGCCTGGAAGGAACTGGCCTGTGAGCTGATGTGTGAGGACATGCAGGGTGTGTGTGTGTGAACACACGTGCACACACGCACACTGCTGCCCCAGTCAGAGGAGCCAGCTGTCAGGCAGTGTGTTTTAAAATGTGCTGATTTATTTGGCTGGTTTGCGCCCTATCTCCTCGGCTGCCTTGATAAATATTTATCAATGTGGTTGCAGCGACATGTCCTGGGAGGAGGGGAGAGAGGGAGGGACAGCAGGATGGTAGAGGGGAGCTGACAGCCGAGGGCACAGTTGTGGGGGAGGACGGAGCCGGCCCAGGAGCAGGGCTGGGAGACCTGGCCCCAGACTCGGCAGTGTGGTTCACGAGTGGACCGGGAGCAGGCAGGACTGTGAAAGCGAGGTGCCTGCTGTGGCGTGACAAGGCCCTTCACTGTTCACATCCAGGCCAAGTCACTGTGCTCAGTTAGGTCTGAGTTTTTTGCAACCCACTGGGTTGCAGCCCTCCAGGCTCCCCTGTCCATGGCGTTTTCGCAGCAAGAATACAGAAGTGGGTTGCCACCTCCTACTCCAGGGGATCTTCCTGACCCAGGGATCAAACCTGTGTCTCCTGCACTGGCAGGTGGATTCTTTACTGTTATGGCACCTGGGAAGCCCTCACCATTCCCGTAGTTACTTATTAAAGACCAATAGTTAGCTTTAGCTTAATGTATGCCAGGCGTGGTTCTGAGTACCCACTTATTTAATTCTAACAACTCTCTGATGAGGGGACTACTCTCCCTGTTTTACAGACTAGGAAACCAAGGCCCTGGGATTGAGCCATATGCCCAGGTCATGCCGTCGTACACAGAGCTGGGATCTGAACATACTCGGCTGGTTGCAAAGCCCCAGCCCTCAGTCACTGCTCTGTCCTCAGTACATGCAGTAAGCTCTCAACAGATGTCCCCTGTATGGATGGATGGGTGGGTGGATGATGGTGGATGAACGGGTAATGGATGATGGACAGATGGATGGATGGATGAATGATGGATATATGGATGCATGATGGATGGATGATGGATGGATAGATGGATGGATGGATGATAGATGATGGATGGATGATGGATGGATGAATGGGTAATGGGTGGATGGTTGATTGGATGGATGGATAATGGATAGATGGTTGGGTGGGTGATGGATGAATAATGGATGGATGGATGATAGATGGATGATGGATAATGGATGGGTGATGGATGGATGAATGAATGATGGATGGGTAAATGGGTGATGGATGAATTGATGGATAGTTGATGGATGCTGGATGAATAGATGATGGATGGATCATTGATAGGTGATTGATAGATGATTGGTGGATGAATGGATGGATGGATGATGGATGGAGGGAGGGATAATTGATAGATGCTGGTTGGATAGACGCTTACATGAAACTTACATGCAGAGTACATCATGCAAAAGGCTGGGCTGGATGAAGCACAAGCTGGAATCAAGATTGTGGGAGAAATATCAATAACCTCAGAAATGCAGATGACACTACCCTTATGGTAGAAAGCGAAGATGAACTAAAGAGCCTTTTGATGAAAGTGAAAGAGGAGAGTGAAAAACTGGTTTAAAATTCAACATTCAAAAAACTACGATCATGGCATCTGGCCCCATCACTTCATGGCAAATAGATGGGAGCAGTGAGAGATTTTATTTTCCTGGGCTCCAAAATCACTGCAGATGATGACAGCAGCCATGAAATTAAAAGATGCTTTCTCCTTGGAAGAAAAGTTGTGTCCAACCTAGACAGCATATTAAAAAAAAGCAGAGACATTACTTTGCCAACAAAGGTCCAGCTAGTCAAAGCTATGGTTTTTCCAGTAGTCATGTATGGATGTGCGAATTGGGCTATAAAGAAAGTTGAACACTGAAGAATGGATGCGTTTGAACTGTGGTGTTGGAGAAGACTCTTGAGAGTCCCTTGGACTGCAAGGAGATCCAGCCAGTCCATCCTAAAGGATATCAGTCCTGAATATTCATTGGAAGGACTGGTGCTGAAGCTGAAATGCCAATGCTTTGGCCACCTGATGCGAAGAACTGACTCCTTGGAAAAGACCCTGATGCTGGGAAAGATTGAAGGCAGGAGGAGAAGGGGACGACAGAGGATGACATGGCCGGATGGCATCACTGACTCGATGGTCATGAGTTTGAGCAAGCTCCAGGAGTTGGTGATGGACAGGGAGGCCTGGTGTGCTGCAGTCCATGGGGTCGCAAGGAGTCGGACACGACTGAGTGACTGAACTGAATTGGATGGATAGATGGATGGGTGATTGACGGATGAATGGATGGTTGTAAGGTCCCAATCATTCGCTGCTCACTGTGTAACTCCGGCCACGTTGGCCAACCTCTCCGCGTGCCCCTTGTTACCCGAGAGTGGCCGGGACACGCTGTAACATGGCGACCTCTTAGCCCAGGCATGGGTTTTGTTTGGCCCGCACAGGGTTATGAACAGCATCAATGGCTGGCCGAAATTTAAAAATATGGAGATTTCGTGTAAAGATCCAGATTCCAGCCGTATGTGAGAGAAGACAGTCCTCTTGCTCTGGGGGGCTGCTGTCTGTCCCTGGGGCTGCCCCTGGCTGCTACACCTGCCAGCCCTCCCCTGCCCCCCTGGCCTGGGTGGGCAGGGAGCCCCTGCCCTAAAGGGTGTGCCCTCGAGGAGGCCCCTCCTGAGAGAGAGGAGAGGACGCTCACTGAGTGCTCCCTGTGAAGCGGGAGCTTCCGCTTCTTCACGTCTCTGGCCTGTCCATCAGCCCCTGTGGCATCACAGGGGTGACGTGACAGCCAGGATGCCGGTGTCACGGGTCAAGGGACCAGTCGCGGGCGTGGCTGCCAGTCTGATAAGGGGCGCCCAGCGCAGGTGCAGCTGGCCGAGATAGCCTCGCCTGTCTGTGGAGGGCGACGCGGAGGCCCCGGGGCTTGCCCAGCTTCCCTGGGGTCATAGTCATGAACGGCGGAGCTGGGCCAGTGTCCAGGCTGGCCTGACTCCCCATCCCCAGTGTCAGCTGCCTCTGGGGAGGATGCCTGGGCCCCTCGGGGAGTCCAGGCCGTCTCTGGCTCTGCACATGGGCCCCTCTGTCCTGCCATCTACCAGAAGGCTCTGTGACTTGACTCCCTATCGCTGACCCTTCATCAGGGGCGCTCTGAAATGTTTAATCAAGGTGTTACACGCAGGGAGCAAGTCCCCACGTGTAAGCGTGCAGCTCAGAGCTGCTCTCCCCAGTGGACGCTGGCTCACACTTGGGTCACAGTGCTGAGCACAGCTTACGGTGACGTCTGTGGCCTTGTGTGTGCATGAGTTTAGTGTCTTTGGCTGCGTTAGGTCTTAGGTGTGCACGTGGGATCTTCAGTGGCGGCATGTGGAATCTAGTTTCCAGGCCGGGTCTCGAACCCTGGCCCACTGCACTGGGAGCGCGGAGTCTTCACCACTGGGTCACCAGGGATGTCTGTGGACTTTGTGTTATTATTACTTTTTAAACTTTTTATGGGGTCTGTGGCCCATCTATGCAGCTTTGTTTTACTTTATTTTTTGGCTATGCTGGGTCTTCCTTGCAGCGCGTGGGTTTAGTTGCCCCGTTGGCCTGTGGGATCAGACCCATCCATGTCCCCTGCACTGGAAGGCAGATGCTTCCTCACTGGACTACCAGGGAAGTCCCCTCTGTGTTGTTTTTAAATATCGTTGCCTATTCATAGTCCAGCTAGCTCCTTGTCCCTGTCACCTTGGGGATGCCTGACCTCCTCCGAGAATGACCCTCAGTCCTATTTGAGCAAAGGTGTAGGAGCTCCCTTGGGGTCAGAGCGAGTCTCCAAGCATCTGTGGGACGGTCCAGGGCAGGGGTGGATGGGGCCTGGGGTCTCTGATGGGTTCGCGGCAGGACCACTTCTTCCTTCAATAGCTTCAACCAAACGTGGTTGTCTTTTGCCTGGACTTTTGGCGTGGACGTGGCCACCTAACACTGAAGCCATCAGTTGTTGTCAAATCTGTGCTCAGAGCCTTCCTTCTCTGTGAACAGGGTGGGGGGTTTGTCGTCTGAAACACAATCCCAGCCGCACAGGCTGTGAGGCACAGAAGGTGGTGAGCGTGTCGATGGTGGTATCAGTGCTTCCTTGGGTCAAAGGCTGCTGAGGAAGGTTCACGGACGGGCGGTTGTCTGTGACGTCTGTCCGATGGGTCCTCAAGCCCTGCGGGGCGGCGGGTGTGGGCAGGGTCCCTCGGGAGGTGGGAGGCCGAGCACATGAGGGGGTGTTGGGTAGTCAGACAGCAAGCCAGCCCCCTGGTAACGTGGAACAGTCCCAAAGCCAGCGCTTGGTGCGAAAAAGACAGCCTGACGCTCACGCATAGGGCTGCTCCAGTAAATTAAAATCCCATGGGCAGCAGCGCTCGCCTTAAAAGCACGCACGCAGAGCACACCCCCCGAGCCAGGCAGGTCACCTTGGGTGGAGGAGGGATGGTAGGGAGGAGTCTCCCAGGGTCAGACGGTGCCAGGGTCAGCTACGTGCAGACTGGGGTGAGGTTAACGCAGGCCCCCTCTGCCAGCGCCCGAGGTCCAATCCCTGGAACAAAATGTTTCCCAGAGTTGCTGCAGGATTTTGTCGTGAATTTAATGGACTTGCTCTAAAATTTGTATGCAGAGTGCGGTCGTTCGGACAGTGACGCTTATCTTCAGGAAGCAGAGCATAGGGGCCTGACTCGCTCTGCAGGTTTTAGCTAGAGGACGGCAGGACCTCTGCCCAGGGAAGCTGCCTTCTGCACCCTGCAGCCTGGCTCTGCATTCCCTGGGCTTCAGCCCCGTCCAGCTCGGCTTGGTGTGATGTGATGGTGATCACAGCTGATTGGTCTGTGCTTGGGGGCTCCCAGGGCAGGGGCAGGGTTAGCCACACACTCACTTTCAAACCATAATGAGTTGTGATGAGACAGTTGGGGGGCTTGGGACGGGTAGCATGGGAGGTGGTCCAGGAGGGCTTCCCGGAAGAGGTGACATTTTCTCGTGAGCTGAGTTGTGAGTCTGTATATGCTAGGTGGGGGTGGGAGGTGGAGGTGTTCCCAGGATGAGAGGAGCATGCCGGTCTTGTGGAGTGGGGGGTGGGGCTGGGTCTGGGGGGGGTGGCCCCCACCTTGAGGAGGCCTTGCCTGCAGCTCAGAGAGGCATCCTGAGGGCTGTGAGCCCCTGTGTCCTCGTTTAACACCTCCGCCATCCTGTGGGATGGCCTTTCTCCCCACAGCTCCTCTCAGAACCGTCATGAACTCACAGGGTTTTGGAGCCACAGGCCTGTATTCTGGAGGAGACGAGGTGGTTCTGTCAGGGGTGATGCTGTGCCCGGGGATCCCCGGGATTTCCGGCCCCCGATCATCCTCTCGGCGCCTGGCGGGCGGGACCCCAGAGTCTTCCACCCTCAGGAGGGGCTGCCAGTTTAAGCAATGCTGTCGGTTGTTTAAATGCCTTCATTGATTATTGTAAGTGGGCTTATGAGCCTTATCGGCTTAGATTTGTATCTGCAGGAGAGCCGTTCATCTTGAATAAATATGTTTTTAATAATCTCCGAGTATTTATGGAGCGTAAAGCTGTCAGACGGAGCGGAGGCGGAGGTTCCGGAGCCGCTCGCTGGCTCCGCTGTGCTGAGCCGTCATCCAGACGCCCCCAGCGGGGTCGCCACCCCGGGGGTGGGGTCGTCCTCCTGTGGTGTTCTGACACTGCAGTGCTGCTGATTTCACTGCAGCAGCCACTCCACGAACACAGCGAGTCGCCCTGGTTCAGAAACAGTCCCTGCGCCCTGGCGCTCCCAGGACCACCTGTGTCGTGAGGTTTGGACGTGAGGTCCCAGGGAGGGTGTGGTGTTCCAGCCCATGCCGCAGTGGGCCTGGGTCATCCAGGCCTCTGACCTGCGTAGTGGGGGAGGTCCAGGGTCAGGATGGGGGCCTGAGCACAGCAGAGCTGGCCAGGGGCCCCTGCTCTGCTTTGGGTCTTGGACTGGGGTCTGCGCCCCCCCCTCCCAGTAGGAAGGCAAGGTGACATCCAGGAGGATGGGGCTCAGGCTGGTCTGAGAGACACCCCCCAGACCCCCAGCATCCTGGGCTGGACCACCCTGACCCCCAGCATCCTGGGCTGGACCACCCTGACCCCAGCATCCTGGGCTGGACCACCCTGACCCCAGCGTCCTGGAGTGGACCACCCTGACCCCCAGCATCCTGGGCTGGACCACCCTGACCCCCAGCATCCTGGGCTGGACCACCCTGACCCCCAGCATCCTGGGCTGGACCACCCTGACCCCAGCGTCCTGGAGTGGACCACCCTGACCCCCAGCATCCTGGGCTGGACCACCCTGACCCCCAGCATCCTGGGCTGGACCACCCTGACCCCAGCGTCCTGGAGTGGACCACCCTGACCCCAGCATCCTGGGCTGGACCACCCTGACCCCCAGCATCCTGGAGTGGACCACCCTGACCCCAGCATCCTGGGCTGGACCACCCTGACCCCCAGCATCCTGGGCTGGACCACCCTGACCCCCAGCATCCTGGGCTGGACCACCCTGACCCCAGCGTCCTGGGCTGGACCAACCTGACCCCAGCGTCCTGGAGTGGACCACCCTGACCCCCAGCATCCTGGGCTGGACCACCCTGACCCCAGCATCCTGGAGTGGACCACCCTGACCCCAGCATCCTGGGCTGGACCACCCTGACCCCAGCGTCCTGGAGTGGACCACCCTGACCCCAGCATCCTGGAGTGGACCACCCTGACCCCCAGCATCCTGGGCTGGACCACCCTGACCCCCAGCATCCTGGGCTGGACCACCCTGACCCCCAGCATCCTGAGCTGGACCACCCTGACCCCCAGCATCCTGGGCTGGACCACCCTGACCCCAGCGTCCTGGAGTGGACCACCCTGACCCCAGCATCCTGGGCTGGACCACCCTGACCCCAGCATCCTGGGCTGGACCACCCTGACCCCCAGCATCCTGGGCTGGACCACCCTGACCCCACCGTCCTGGAGTGGACCACCCTGACCCCCAGCATCCTGGGCTGGACCACCCTGACCCCCAGCATCCTGGGCTGGACCACCCTGACCCCCAGCATCCTGGGCTGGACCACCCTGACCCCCAGCATCCTGGGCTGGACCACCCCGCCTCCTCCCTGTTGAAGCGCCTGCCCACGCTTCCCTCTACCTGCTTCCTGCTCAGCGGGCTGTCTCCGCTGCACACCCAGCCCCTCGTCCCGGCCCAGACCCCAGTGACCTCAGAGAACATCATGTCATCAATGTGAGGTCCCCGCTACTCCTACACTCTCACTGTCACCTGCCGTCGTGATCCAGCCTCACCAAGGGTCTGCTGTGTGCCCGATGCCACCCTGAGCGCCCGATGCAGGCTCACCCCACATATCCGTGTCACCGCGTGGCACGGTGGACAGCGTTCTTAGTCCCACCTTCCAGCTCAGAGCCTGGCGACCGGCCTGAACCTCCCGAGTCCATGCGGCCACCGCCTCTGGGGTCTAAAATGGGTCCCCAGGCCCTCTCTTCTGCCGACACTCTGCGTCCCCCAGGAGAGCCCCAGTGGACCACTCAGAGGCCCCAAAGAGGTGCACGTCCACCCTGGAGTCCACTGGCAACCCATGAGGCTGCAGGAAGATAGCATTAGAATCTCCTCATAAGGAGCAGCCTAAATAAACAGTTCACAGACACTGGCACATACACTGCTGCTCACATGCTGACGGGCATGCTCCAATTTTATTTGCTGGGGAAGTGACACCAAATGTAATAGACATCAAGGAAATGTAAATTAAAACTAATGAGATATTGCCGCACCCCAGATTGGTATCTCTGTTCAGTTGCTCAGTTGTGTCTGACTCTTTGCGACCCCGTGGACTGCAGCTCTCCATGTGTCCCTGTCCTTCATCACCTCCGGGAGCTTTCTCAAACTCACGTCCATTGGGCCGGTGATGCCGTCCAATCATCTTGTCCTCTGTTGTCCCCTTCTCCTCCTGCCTTCAATCTTTGCCAGCATCAGGGTTTTTTCCAATGAGCTGGCTCTTCTCAGCAGGTGACCAAAGTATTTGAGCTTCAGCATCAGTACTTCCAATGAATATTCAAGGTTGATTTCCTGTAGGATTGACTGGTTTCATCTCCTTGCAAAGAATAGCAAGAAGAGATAAGAAAGCCTTCCTAAGTGAACAATGCAAAGAAATAGAGGAAAACAATAGAATGGGAAAGACTAGAGATTTCTTCAAGAAAATTAGAGATGCCAAGGGAACATTTCATGCAAAAATGGGCACGATAAAGGACAGAAATAGTAGGGACATAGCAGAAGCAGAAAATATTAAGAAAAGGCATCAAGAATACACAGAAAAACTAATCTTAAAGACCTGGATAACCACGATGGTGTGGTCACTCACCTAGAGCCAGACGTCCTCGAGTGCGAAGTGAAGTGGGCCTAGGAAGCATTACTGCCAGCAGAGCTAGTGGAGGCGATGGGATTCCAGCTGAGCTATCTCAGGGCCTAAAAGATGACGCTGTGAAAGTGCTGCACTCAATGTGCCAGCAAATTGGGAAAACTTGGCAGTGGCCACAGGACTGGAAAAGGTCAGTTTTCCTTCCAATCCCAAAGATTGTTGGGACAACAAAGGCAATGCCAAAGAATACTCAAACCACTGCACAATTGTGTTCATTTCACATGCTAGCAAGGTAGTGCTCAAAATCCTTAAAGCCAGGCTTCAACAGCACAGGAACCAAAAACTTCTAGATGTACAAGCTGGAATTAGAAAACGTAGAGGATTCAGAGATCAAGTTGCCAACATCCGTTGGATCATAGAAAAAGCAGGAGAATTCCAGAAAAGCATCCAGTGCTGCCTCATTGGACTACCCTGATGCATAGTCATGCGTGTAATGTGGATCACAGCAAACTGTGGAACATTCTTAAAGAGATGGGAATACCAGACCACCTTACCTGTCTCCTGAGAAATCTGTATGCAGGTCAAGAAGCAACAGTTAGCACCGAATATGGAACAACAGACTGGTTCCAAATCGGGAAAGGAGTACTTCAAGGCTGTATGTTGTCACCCTGCTTACTTAGCTTATATGCAGAGTGCATCATGTGAAATGCCACACCCCAGAAGAATGGCTGATAGTAAAAGGATGTATCTGCTCTCTCCACTTTGGGTTGGAGGTTGGGCTCACTTTGGGTTGGGCTCACTCTCTCAGCTTTGGGTTGGACGTTCTAGCCAGGGAAATAGGCAATAAAAACAAGAAAAGGAATCTAATTTGTAAAGGAAAAGCTAAAACTTCCTATTCGTAGACAATATGATCTCGGGTAGAGAAAACCCCAAGGAATGCCCAGAATGACTAAAGAAGTTCAGCACGGTTATGAGATACCAGATCAAATGTATTTTTCTTTGCTAGCAATGAACAATCCAAAAATGAAATTCATTAAATGACTTGTTACAGTGTCATCAAAAAGAATAAAATGCTTAGGAATAAATTTAACTAATGCAGTGCAAGTCCTGTACACTGAAAACACCAAACATTGTTGAAACAAATTTATTAAGACCAAAGTCAACGCGGAAGGACATCCCGTGTTTGTGGCCTGGAGGACTTACTGTTGTTCAGAGGGCAGTCCTCCTTAAATTGCTCTGTAGACTGATTACATCCCTAGGGAAACCCTCGCTGCCTTTTTGGAGAAGTTTACAGGCTGGTCCTAGAAGTCTGTCTCAGTCTGGGATCTCCAGAGACACAGAACTAACAGGGTGCATATCTATGTCTGTCTGTCTCTCTGTCTGTCTGTCTGTCTCTCTGTCTGTCTGTCTAGGGAGGTAGGACCTGGCTCACGCGATCCTGGGGGCTGGCCAGTCTGCCCTCTGCAAGGCAGGCCTCAGGCTGGAGACCCAGAGCAGAGCTGGTGCTGTACCTTGAGTCCAGAGATATCTGGAAGTGATTTCTTCTTCCTCTGGGACCTCTGTCTTTTTTCCTGAAGACTTTCTACTCACTGAATGAGGCCCATCCATTTATGGAGGTTAATTTGCTTTGCTCAAAGTCTAGTGATTTGAATGTTAATCTAAGATACATCCTCACGGCAGCATCTCGTTTCGTGTTTGACCGAAACGTGGGTACCGTGACTACTGTAGCCCAGTCAAGTTGCCACATGAATTAACCACTACAGACTTATGGAAATGCTAGAGACGCTAATAGCTAAAGCAATCTTGAAAAGTTGGAAGGCTCACACTTCCTGATTTCAAAACTTACTGCAAAGCTACAGTCATGAGGACGGTGTGGCATGGTGTGCGGGAAGACATACCGACCAACAGAATGAAGTTGGAAGTCCAGACACGAATCCTTGCATCTACAACCCACTGGCCTTCCACGGACGTGCGAGCCCGTCTTTCCCAAACTGTCCTGGGATGAGAGCGGGAGGTCCACATGCAGAACAGTGGAGCCAGACCCGCCCCCCACAGCTTGTGCGGAGACCACCTCCACTGCATCAGAGCCACGTGTGCGCGAGGCTGGAACCGTGGGAAGAGGACACGTGTGTGAATCTCTGTGACCTTAGATGTGGTGACGGCTTCCATTTGACACAGTCGTTTTGTCTATTTTGGCTGCGCTGGGCCCTTTCTGAGCACAGAAAGCCTGAGCAAGCCTGTGCTCCGGCTTTCTCTCGTTGCAGAGAGCGGGGGGCTGCTCTCTAGCTGTGCCGCGGGCTCCTCACCACGGGGGCTTCTCGTGTGGAGCTCCGGTTATAGGGCGTGCGGGCTTCAGTCGTTGTGGCC